AGTTAGATGCGGAAAGTCTCGGGTGCTTCATCGATTTGACCATGGCTATTGAGGCTTCGGCGTGCTGGCCCAAATTCTGTACGAAGATCGCCTTTCTGCAGAAGCGATTGGGAGGAGTTCGCTCGATGGCGCTGATGCATGTGGTGGCCCGTGTGCAAGCACGGTTACGGAGACCTCTGGCATTGTCTTGGGAGAAGGCGAACCTGCATCCTTAGTTCTGGGCGTGTGCCGGGAGGTCGTGCGAGCGGGCAGTTTGGCAGCAGTCCGCCTGGTTCGAATGGGCTACCTGTAAGTCTAGAGGAACGTCTCGGTGCTCGGCGCAGGTTCTCTTGGACCTTTTGAAGGCCTTTGAACATGTGCGACGTCACTGGCTTCTTGAGGCCGCTGTGTCTACTGGGTTCCCACTATGGCAACTTCGGCTCCGAGTTGATGACTATCGGGCTCAGAGGTACCTCGCGCTGGGTTCAGTGGTGTCTGAGGGAATCGTGTCGAAACAATCCATTATCCCAGCGGACGACGGGTGGGCGACATTTTTGCTCAACTTGGCGCCCATGTGTCTCCTGGACAAAGCGTATCGTATGCACATGATCGTCTTGCCGATGATCGTGGTCGATGGTGCGTTGCTGCAGCGCGTAAGAGGTGGAGACCGTGTTGGTCGTGACTTTGTGCAGGCTACCAAGGGCGTGCAGAGGGTCCTGGAGGAGTATGATTCGACGATACACTCAGACAAGTCGCGTGTGTTGTCGAATGATCGTGAGGCGATGTTCGTGATGCGTCACAGTTGGCTCGACGGACTGGGGCTCAGGCTGTCTGGCATGAGCGTATCTTCGGAATTGATTGCGATGCAGGTCGTCGCATGGACAGGAATGTTCGGATTGATAAGAGTCTGCGTTAGCTATTCGTACGGCATGTTGGTGGCAGGGTGCAACTGTGGTGAGCTGGAGTCTGCGCGAACTGTTGCTTTTGCGGCGATCGAGCCGAGGACAGCTGGCAAGAGTCGTGCCCTCTCGCTCATGTGTCATGGCAAGATAAATCCGTTGTTTCGGGCTACGTTGCTGCCAATCGTGGCTTTCGTGAGGGCCTCGTGGTAGTCGCGGGTGCCGTCCCGAGTTCTCGAAGACTCGATGGCTGGTTGTCTTGGGATCAAGCACTGGACCCAAGTTCAAGGGTCCTGTGGGGCTGCGAGGCTCTCCCTGGGTCGCGTGGGTTGGACTGTCCTGGAACCGCTTCCTTGAGTTACGCACGAGGGTGACGTGATCGATGTGAGGAAGGTTTGTCCGTGATGCGTCACACAGACTCTGGAAATATCGGTGTTAGCCTGACAGTGGGTCTACGCATCGCTGGACGATTCTCTGGGACATCTGGCAGATGGTGTTGTCTGGGAACCGCTTGTGTACTTGCTCAGACCGGGTAGATGTAGATCCAATGGGTGCAAATATCTACGGCAGTTGACCAATGTTCAGCGTGGGTATCTCCGCTCCGTCATCGTAAATGGACAGTGGCCGATGTCGCGGAAGTTCGAGACAGGATTCGTTATTAACAGTGAGTGCTTGTTGTGTGAGTATGCCGGCGTGTTGCTACATCGGAATGCATTGTGTGAGGCTGCGGGGCGCAAATCCGTGCCTGCTGTGTTTCATGTCATGACGGAAGGCTGACGAGCCTGCCGTCAAGCTGTTGCTAGGGAGATGTCTGTGGTCTCGTACCAAGTTGCCTGAAGGGCGGAGGCCGCCGTCTGTTCAGCAAATTGCGTGGCATCGCCATTCGGGCCTTGTTATGACTCATACTCCGCAAGCCTACCTTGATATTCGATGTTCGAAGGGGGGCTGGGCGGAGGAGTCGGTTGCGGGGTGGGCGATAGTTACCCTCACGTCGGATCCGTTTGTTGTCCAGGACGTGGCCGACGGCGTTTTCGCAGGACCCGTAAGGGACATCGATGGTGCCGAGTTGTCTGCGCTCGTGCAATTGTTTAAGGAGGCCGTTCCTCTTATAGACGCCATCACTGACAGCACTTTCGTGTACGAAGGTGTTTATGTGAGGGGCCTTGCGCGCACGACTGTGTTTGGCAGCGCTTGGGCGTCTCTCTGGCGTAGTTTCGGGACTCTGTTAGAGGACTTCTGAGGTCTCGGAGAGCGCGGCTCGGTTGCGCGAGAAATAAAACGCATCAGGCCCTTGATGCCGTGGTGTCGGGGCGTGTGTTGAGGCGTGACAGGTTCGGCAATGATCAGGCCGATGTCCGGGCAAAGCAAGCCGCCGCGCGTGTCAGAGTTCCGGCTGATGTTAGGATGTCCCGTCTGAAGTTTCATGCGCTGCTTGGGCGTGTAGCGCACTGGGTCGGCACCGTCGGGGCTATGATTGATAGTCTTGCTTGTGTTGCTGTTCGGCACTCGGCTCGTCCGATTCGGCCTCCGTCTGGCCCGTTTCGGAATTTCGGCCCGTGCAACGACTACCGCGCATGATTGGTACAGCCCTGACGGCAGCCGCCGGTGTCGCTTGTGCCGTGTGTCGGGGCCTGCGCACAGAGAGCGTGCAGGAACTATTGTTTTCCGTGCGATTGAGGCATCGAGGCGTCTCGAGGCTCGAGGAGAGGTGCCGCATAAGGTGGTGGCCTTGGACACGGAGCCACGTTTTTGGAATCCGAGGAACCTTGCCGTGGCCTGCATGGTGTGCGGGGCTTCTTCCTCGAAGCAGCTGAAGACCCGGTCCTCCCCTGCAGAAAGCTTGGGGCGCATGGAGTAAAGGCCCTCCAGAAATTCGTTGCTGGTTTCCTCCCTGAGGGGAGGAACAAGGTCTCAGCGGTCATTGCAGGATGTTAGCCAGACGAGCGCCCCGATGCACCGGGAAGACGAGGAGGAGGAGGAGGAGGAGGAGGAGGACGAGGAGGAGGACCGCCCGCGCGCCGTGCCGTGGCGTGCGGTGCCGTGCCTTGTGATTGGAATGCGACCACGGCGCCGCCCGCGTGCCGTGCCGTGATCGTGCCTCGGCCGCGGCATCGGCGAAGGCGTTGCCGGCCGCTCAATTCTCTCCGGGCTGCGGCGTGCGCGCGTGCCGCGCCGTGCGCCGCGGTGCTGCGAAGAGGTTGCCGCCCGCGCACAGTGCGCTGGGGTTCAATGGAGGAAAAAACACCGATACCGTTGGATTCGCTTCGAAATCCTGGTCAGAACGCACCCCGGGAGAGGTCTGGGGAGTAGCGGTATCGGTGCCTTTGGGTTTCCTCGGGGGTGCGCCAGCAGGCCGTGCCGTGCCGTGCTGCGTGTCTTGCGTGCGGAAAAACGTGCCGCGTGCCGTACCGTACCGTGGTCGTGTGCCGTTCTTTTCGGCGGCGAGCGAGGGGGGGAAATGAGATGGAAAACGCCTTCTCAGAAGGCGGCGGGATTTCTCAGAATCGCTCCGGCCTTACAAAGAAGGCAGGGGGACTCCCCAGCCTTCTGAGAAGGCCCGCCCCTTCTCACTTCCCCCGCGGGCTCACCGCCGAGGTGTGCCGTGCTTAGTTCGGAAATGGGAAAGGGCTTCTGTGCTATACCGTGCCGACCATGTGCCGTATCTTCTGCCAGTGCGGCTCGCAGCGTGGCATTCCAGGGTTCCCAGGGACCGTTGCTCTTCATCCCTAGTCGTTGTTCAAGCAGTGGCGAAGCGTCCCAGCTTGCTTATAGGCCCACCCAAACATGTTCTAATAGCTTTTGGGGTTTGCACGAAATCTTCTTAGAACGTTTCTAGCTGGGACTGTCCTGTTCTGACACATCGTGTTCTCGTTCTAAGAACATCGCTCTTGCTCCAAAAACATTTTGGGGTTCTAAGAAATATTGGTGGGAGGCCTATAGGATTGCCGGGACGGTCGGTCCCTGGTCAGCTTGTGTGGCGGCCCCGGGGGACCGGTGCGGCCCCACGCAGGCCGACAGTGCCGAGCCACCTCCCGCTGGCGTTTGCCTCACGATGCCGGGCGGCCCGTGCCCCCCACGCTCTCCCGCCAGGGTCCTTGTCGATCAGGCCGATCCAGTTCGACGTCGACTCGACTTTACATCGCTGTTCGGGACCATCGACCTCCAGACAGGATCGCGTCGTAAAGCAAACAAATCAGGACGCGAGGTCTCGCGGGGCCTTGGAAGCGTCAAAAACGACTCGGTATGAAAACCCGGTCTCAGGAACAGGGTCGGGACTTCAGGGACGCCGTTTTGAAAAAATCAGGACGTCGCATGTCTGGGCATGCGCACGGAAAGAATGGGTACAATACCCAACACCAATTCATATTCCTTTTGGACGGGACTCAGTGTCCGCGCCGCCGCGGGCATTGCTCTTGGAAGACGAACAGCCGCCTGCCCACCAGCGGCCGCTGTCGGTTTTGGACAACGTTCGTCGTTGTTCGGCATTGTATTCATTGTTGTCCGTACCCATCTCGGGCGTCCAGAGGTGTGTACCCAGGCGCAGCCGATTCGATGCGACTTCCGTGCCGACCGGTGCATCCCGAGTCGAGGCTCGCCCCAGTCTGATCTGGTTTCGCGAGTCGCTGCTGGCCGACTCTGTCCTCCTCCCCGCCTCCTGCACTCCTCGGCGGCGAGCGAGGGAGGGAAGTGAGCAGGGGCAGGCCTTCTCAGGAGGCTCGGAAGTCCCCCGGCCTTCTGAGAAGTGTTCAGAGACTTCCCCGAAGTGACAGAACAAAAACCTCTCAGAAGGCGCGAGGGCTTCTGAGAAGCCCCGCCGCCCTCTGAGAAGGCCTTCTCCTTCTCATTTCCCCCCCGGGAGCTTGGGTCTCTGGCGGCGGTTCGGGACGATCCGGGCACCCCCGGAACGCCCTCGGCGAGGCGCAGTTGTTGGCGGGCATCCCGAGGCTGAAGAACCGCCGAGAGCCGACGAAAGCGTCCGAAAACCTCGAACCTCGAACCCGAAACTTCCCCCCTCGCTCGCCGCCGCTCGGACGCCCCTCCCCCTCGCTCCCCGCCTCCTGCGCTCTCCACGAGCCACGGCGCACGGCGCGGTCCCCCCCCCCCCCCCGCGCTCGCGCGGAGGACTGAGGCGCGGCGGGCTCCCCCGGGTGCGCAGGGGGCCTCCGGCATATGGGCGCCGGCCTCGCGCGTGCGCGGTGCGGCGGCCGGGATCTGCCGTCCCCCCCTCCCCCTTTCCCAAGGCCCTGCAACCGGGGCGTCCGTGAACGGGTCGGCAGTCAAGGGCGCGTGTTCCACGGTGTTTTCAAACATTTGATCTGCCGCGCAGACGTGCGAGGTAACCCTCCCAGCCCAGAGTTATGATGATGCATCGACGTGCTTGTCGTCCCGGTTTATCTCGCACTAGAGCGAGGTAAATGCCCTGTCGCCCCGTTCTCGCTTGGAGTGGCCCCTCAGCTACCGCCCTGTTTACTAACGCCCCGCTTGCAGGGGCTAGGCCTTCACACTCAAGTCGGGCCTTTCCCTCTTCGGGAGGACACTTCAAAAACAGTAAACAAAGTAGTCTGGGGACGATTTTTCCGGCTCTGCCGTTCCCCGCCCCCTCCGTTTACACTTAAGTCGGGCCTGCCCCTCTGCAGGAGGAAAACTCAGAAGGAGTAACAAAAATAGTCCGGGGACGATGTTTCGACTATTGTTTGCCATGTGTTGTTTATTTGGTGTCTATGTTTTAACTTTTCGTCAAATATATGCCTGCAGGAGGCCATGCCCGACCTAAGTTTACACATAGGCCGCGGGTCTCAGGAGATTTCAGCGGGGACGTGCATCAAGACAGGACGATGGCGATGAGAACATTGCATGATCTAACGACGACGATGAGGAGAAGGAGGGGACAGATGGGGGGAAGGAGAAAAAGGATGGGGGTGAGGGGTGGAGGAAGGATAAGGAGGCGGATGAGGAGGATAAGGTCAAACAGCAGCAAGGGCCATGACTTCAATGTGAGTGAGAGTAGGGAGGGGACTGAGGAGAGGGTTGGCGAGGGAGGGGACGGGACGGATACCCATTGCTGCGGCGTCCCCACGTGAGCAACGCAGCAGCACGGTGCCGTTTGCGCCGACATAGGTGCGCAAGCTGCCCGCGTGAGGCCGCGCGTAGGCGCCCTCGCTGACGGTGTGGCGTGCCGCGCTGGCGGCCCGCGCAAGATGCGGCATGAGGCCGGTGTGTCACAGCGCACAACCCGTTTTTTGGTGGTCGATCGCTTGCGCTCACGCTCGTTAAAGGATTCACGAATGCCGTCCTTCGACTCGCGCCAGAGCGGGCCGCCATCTGCTCTAGCTCTCCCTGGAGATCTCTGGATGTACCTGGATCTGCCCGGGGTTACTTGGATTTGCTCGATTTGTTTGCACCTGCCTGGATTTCTCTGGCTCGATCCCCACAAGTCGATCGGCGAAAAGCCGTCAAACCCTTGGGGACACGCCGTGCCGTGCCCCCAGCGAGGACGAGGAGGAGGAGGAGGAGGAGGAGGAGGAGGGAGGAGGAGGACGAGGAGGAGGAGGAGGAGGACGAGGAGAACGAGGAGAACGAGGAGGACGAGGAGGACGAGGAGGAGGAGGGAGGAGGAGGGAGGAGGGAGGCCAGGTTCGACGCAGGCTTGGGACAGCTCTCATCAAGGGAGGAAAAACCTTCCAGACCCCGACACTTGGCGTTTACTAAGCGGCCCTGGGCGTTTACTGAACAGCCCTGCCCTGTCCGACTCCTACCTTGGGGGCGTTTGCTGAACGGCTTCGCTTGTCGGGGTGATCGTTATGGGGGTGAACTTTCTGCCCTCCTAGACGTGGTCTTGGATCACTGCCTGGCAAGAGTTCATACATGTTTGTTTAGATGCTGGGAGAGTTGCGTGTTCGACACTTTCTTTCAAGGCTTCTTTATCAATGGACTTCAACTGATGAGACAGAGCGATGTGGAACATCCGCTTCGCCTCACGCCTGGAAGCCCCGCGAGGAATCTTCAGCACAATTCCTGACGGGAAGGGTAAGTCAAACTCAGCATGTACCACTTGTTCCCATACGCTATCCAACTCAGTGTGGTGAATGGGGCTCTTGAAGGAACGCATGCCATTCGGGTACTTACCCTCGGACAGGATGATTAGGTCCGCAGTAGACTTGGCGAGCAATGCTTTCGTACGAAGGAGCTTCGTTGCCGCTGCTTCGAACTCATGCCCGACCTTGTCGAGACACGTAAATAAGGGAGCTGGGATCCGTTTTGTGTATACGTCCTCAGGCGCGTTTCCACCAGCCGCAGCGGGGGCAACAGCACGTGGAGCTGCCGCTACGCCTGCTTGCGTCTCAGGCGCAGACGGCTGACCAGAAGATAACACAGCAATAGCATTTGCATGACCTGTACCTGCTGCGCCATGGTCTCGTTCTGCCTTGCCTGATTCGTCGCCTGCTCCTGAAGAGGAGTCACCAAAGCATTGATGTCGACGTTCCCGGTGTTGCTGCTGGCACCCGCCGCCATGGCTGCCGCTAGGAGCGCCACCGCCAGGCCGAGGAACTTCGACACAGTGACTGTTTGCGTCCCTCTCCAAGGAAGCAAGCGCATCGCCAGAACTCTGATGTTTGCCTCTCGACATTGCGAGAACAATATAATATACACCAACACTTAGAATGAGGGCTCGCAAAGATCTCGAACAGGCAATGCATGCGCACACTGAACTTTGCTGAGTGTAATCTGCTAGGCCTTGGGATCCCAGACTGGCAATTGGCACCCCTCTTGACTCAGATTGCTACGGAAAGCAATGGGGAAAGCATTGCCATTGCTATTGCCATCGCTATTGCAATTGCTATTGTTATTGCTGTTACCATTGCTATTGCTACCCAGACCCCGACACTTGGCGTTTACTAAGCGGCCCTGGGCGTTTATTGAACAGCCCTGCCCTGTTCGACTCCTTCCTTGGGGGCGTTTGCTGAACGGCTTCGCTTGTCGGGGTGATCGTTCTGGGTGTGACCTTTCTGCCCTCCTAGACGTGGTCTTCGAGCATTTCTGGCCGAGACTGTCTGGTTTTGGCACGTCGGGCTCTGTGTTCTAGGAACGCTGTTTGCGCTCTCAGAAAGCGTCGGTGTTCCGAGAACACGTCGCGGCGGGCTTCTTAGCAGTGCCGGGACGGTCGGCCCCTGCCCCACAGGAGCGCGCACTGGCGCCGCTCCCCTGGCCCCAGGAGGGGCCTGGCCAGGCCCGATGCGGGCTCGGGACAGCACCTCGGCCACGCGCAGAGGGGGCATAGCAGGGGAAAGAGGGGAAGGCTTCTCAGAAGCGGGGGGGCATAAGACTCCTCCTCCTCTTCCTCCTCCTCCTCGTCCTTCTCCTCCTTGGGACAGCACTCAGCCACGCGCACAGGGGGTATAACAGGGGGGACGGGGGAAGGCTTCTCAGAAGCTGGGGGGCGTACAGTCAGGGCTCCGAAGAAGGAACCCTTTTCGTTGGGGAGGGGCTCGGTGTTCCTTGATTGTTTGCCAGTTTGCCTCACGTTTTCCTTAAGTTGTCGAGGAGAAGTCGAAGTTTAACTCATGCGAAACAGGGGCCTCGTTCCTTCTCTAGGGTTCCTTTGTTCAGCGCCCCGACTGTATAATAGGGGGGAGGGGGGAAGGCTTCTCAGACAGCGGGGGGTGCGTAAGACTCGAGTGCGCCGGAACTCGGGCTTGCAGACGCTCTTTGGCGAGCGCGTCCTGGGTTTTGACGGTCCACTTGTCACGGGACGTCTTCAGCGGGATCTCGCGTCGAATTTCAGGCTGGGCCTCGTCATTCTCATGACGGCCCCGTCCGGCCAAACCGAGTCCCCCGCACCCGAGTTTTATTTCTCCCGATAGAAGCGCCCCTGCTTCTCAGGAGGCGCGGCCCGCGCCTCCTAAGCGCCGGCTCTAGGAAGCCTTCCCCCCCTCTGCGCGCTGCCAAAGCTCAGGAGGGGGAACAACAACACAGACACAATCAATTGTCGATTACCCAGGGAATATGGGACAAGATGGGAAGTGTGGGGGGGAAGACGAAAATCCCCAAACTATAGCAAAAACGCAGGGAATCTTTGGATTTGTGTGTATTTCATTGTGTGCCCCCGGGCCCCTTCAAAAGCATGGGAATCTGCGGAATACTCGGGACGATGTTGCGAGGACTCTGCGAGAGGCGGCCCTCCAGCAGCCCGCGCAGGGTGCGGTCTCCAGCGCGCTCCGCGCCGCTCCGCTCCGCTATCTGAGCTGGGCGCCTCGGTGGGCACGCCTGGACGTGCCAGGACACGCCACGCCAGCGCGCCGCGGCGATATCATCTCTGCGCCGCCGACACGGGCAGCTACCCCGTCACGGATACCTCGACGGCGCAGGAGAGCGGCAGGAGACAGCATGCCTTTTGCGCGCGGGATGGTGCAGGAAGGTGGCAGGGAAGGGCTACCTTCTCTGCACCGACTAGAATCCAACGAGGTCGTCTATGCACCACCACCGTGCCAGGCCAGGGCCATCCTGGGCCCCAGAATGGTATATAGACCCTCCTGGCCTCGGCCAAAAACAACAATGCAGTCATACACCCGGGGGTGCTTAGGACACTGAATTCCCGTGCAGGTGGGCACTTCAAATGCGTCCTCGTTTGAGGCCAGATGGAAGCTCCACATCAGCAGACTTCAAACACTGATTGGGCGTAGGGAAGGAAGGAGGAGGGGGAGGGGAGGGAGGAAACAAAGGAAGGAGGGGGGAGACTCCACACCATGCCAGGGCCAGGATGGCCCTGGCCTGGCATGGCGGTGGTGTATGGATGCCTTCTGCGTATAGAAAAAGGGAGTCCCCTTCTACAGAGTACCCGTGAGGGTGGCGCTGACCATCCTCGGAGGCTGCCGCCACTCCTCGCGAGGTACCGCGGGGCGCAGGACCCCTCCCACGGTCGGCCCGGTGTGCATGCGTGTGCCACGAGTGGCGCCCCTCGAAGCGCCGTCGGCCCTCGACTCGACTGCACGCTAGGCGCCTGACAGTAGGCACTTTTGGACATCCACATCCCAGGCGAAGCTTTGGGCGCCCTCCTTTGGGGCAGACGTCACCTGAGCGACTCGAGAAGGCGGGGTCGTCCGCGCCGACATTGGCGCGCGAGCTGCCCGCGTAAGGCCGCGCGCAGGCGCCCTCGCTTCACATGTGGCGTCCCGCGCGGGCGGCCCGCGCAGGCCACGGCGCAGCGATCCATGCTGTCAGCTGCGCAAGACCCGTTTCTGGATCGTCGCTCGCCTGCTCAGTCAGCGGCCGCCGGCGGTCTACGACGCCGTGGCTCTTGGGTCGGGGGTGGACAAAACCCCCAACAGTGACACGTCGATTAGTGAGTTGTCCGTGTTCGGTTCCTGACGAGAGGGCGCCGCGGCCGTCATTTTCCAGGCTTGCGCCCGCCAGGGTTGGGCCTCAGGTTGTTTTCACTAAACCACGTTTTACTAAAGGAGGGTCTGTCCATCCCCGATTGGGATGCGGTCCTCAAGCAGCCTCACAAGCAGCCTCACCACGTCTGGCGCACCACGCCAGGGCTTGGCTCAGGCGATCGCAAGCATGGATCAAGGAGGCGTGGATTTGCGATGGGTCTCTGCGTCATCTGCGCAAGACCCGTTTTTGGATCGTCGCTCACTTGCTCAGTCAGCGACCGCTGGCGGTCTACGACACAATAGCTTCTGGGATGCGGTCCTCAAGCAGGATGGAAACAACATAACCCTGGGCCATGATTGTCAGGAGGGAAAACACACACAGACACAATTAATCGTCGACTCCCAGGAACATATGGGGAAATATGGGAAGTGGTAGGGCGAGACGAAAACCCAGAAAGTATGGGACAAATATTGGGAATCCTGGGATTCGTGTGTATTTCTTTGTGTGTCCTTGGGCCCCTTGAGATTGGCGGGGACCAGCCTCACCACGTCTGGTGCACCACGCCAGGGCTTGGCGCCTTCGGCGAGCCCTCTGGGGAAGTGGGCAGGGGCGGGCTTCCTTCTCAGAGGGCTCGACAGTCCCCCCGGCCTTCTGAGAGAAGCTTTCTGAAGCCTCCCCCGAAGACACAGACCGCCTCTCAGAAGGCCCGAGGCCTTCTGAGAAGCCCGCCGCCATCCGAGAAGTCCTTCTCCTTCTCACTTTCCTCCTGGGAGCGCCGCCGAATTTGATTTTTGGTCATAGCTCGGGTCTCCGGCAGCCGTTCGGGACGATCTGGGCACCCCCAGAGCGCCTTCGGCGAGGCGCAGCTGCTGGCGAGCAACCCGAGGCTAGAAACCGCCAAGAACCGACGAAAACGCCCGAAAACCTCGAACCTCGAGCCTAGAACCCGAATTTCCCCCCCCTCGCTCGCCGCCGAGATCTGGGAGAGCGGCCCTCCTCCTCGGAGCTCCTCCTCCTCCTCCTCCTCCTCCTCCTCCTCCTCCTCCTCCTCCTCCTCCTCCTCTGTATCCTCTGTATCCTCTGTATCCTCTGTATCCTCCTCCTCCTCCTCCTCACTTCCCCCCCTCTCGCTCGCCGCCTGCCCTGGGCCAGGTTCGGCGAGAAGGGCCCGCGACGCGCCACGCTGGCGCCCGGCGCCAGGGCTTCCTGGCGCGCCTTCGGCACGCGCCACGGTTGTCCCTCTCGCGGGTGTCGGCCCGGAGGCCGGCGGCGAGAGATCTTCTTCTTCCTCCTCCTCTTCCTCCTCCTCCTCTTCCTCCTCCTCCTCCTCCTCGTCCTCCTCCTCGTCCTCTGCATTCTTTGCATCCTCCTCCTCCTCTGCATCCTCCCCCTGCGCAGTGCCCTTGTCACCCCGTGCCAGGGGTTGGCGGCTGCTGTGGCTCTGGGGAGGCGGTGCCTTCCTTTGCACCACGGGGGTCGTGCGCGGCGCGTCTCGCGGCCGCCACCGCGGTGGTCTGCCCGCCACCTGCCTTCGCGTCCCCTCCGCCGGGCTATCAGAAACGGCTGCGTCACGCGGCGCCTCTCGGTCCCCCCTGGACGCCCTGATAACCTGTGGCCTGCGGCAGGTTCGTGTCGTGCCGATGCGGAGGCGACCCCAGCGCGGTGGTCAAGGCTGAGCGCCGCTGGTCGGTTTGGGATCGGCCGGCGTCGAGCGACGTGCGCAATCGGAAGGTGGAGGTCGTCCAATGCGGTGTCAGAAGCGATCGCCGGCGTCATCACGGCACGAACTGGCGGTATACAGTTGGGGCCCATGCCAGGAAACACTTTGCTTGCCTCCAGGGTGCCCTGGGTTTCTTGGGTTTCGATGGCTTGGCCATGGACAGCGTGACGTTCCTATACCACACATCGATTGACGTGTTGGGGTCTCAGAGTTTGGTTTCTTGTGGAAGGTTTTTTGTGGGCTGGCCTCCACTGTAGGCTGTCTGCTGCCCGCACTCCATTTCTCCTCTGCCCAATGCTTGCTCCCCCTCTCTTGTGCTCCCCCCCCCGCATCCTGCCTGCATGTGCTGACTCATCCAGCGCGTCGCTCGACATGGGCGGCGCAAAAACAACAAAGGTTCGACTGCGCCGACACCGGCGCGTGAGCTCCCCACGTGAGGTCGCACGTGATCGCTCTCGTCTCCAGAGTACAGTGGGGGCGCATGCCAAGAAACACCCTTCTCGCGTCCAGGGTGCCCTGGGTTTCTTGGGTGTCGATGGTTTTGCTATGGAGAGCGTGACGTTCCTGCGCCAAAAAACGCTGGATGTTGGGTTTCTTGTGGAAGGTTTCTTGTGGTCGGGCCCCTACTGTAGCGTGCCTCGCTTGCGGCCCGCCTAAGCCACCGCGTAAGGTCGCGTTGTCATCTCGCGTAAGACCCGTTTTTCATCTTCGCTAATTTATCCTCTGCTCTTTTCTTGATCCCCCGCTCTTTTACTGCCCACCCCCCCACGTCCTGCCTGCATGCGCTGACTCGTTGAGCGTGTCGCTCCACATGATTGTGAGGCCTTACGGCCGGTGCCGCCGACCATGACGACGAGGAGGACGACGACGAGGAGGAGGAGGAGGACGACGACGAGGATGAGGAGGAGGAGGAGGAGGGGGAGGAGGAGCAGGAGGAGGAGGCGGAGGACGCGGTGGAGCAGGGTCCTGCCTGCATGCGCTGACTTGTAGAGCGTGTCGCTCCGCATGATCTTCCCGCCGCCTGCCGCCCTGGGCCCTGGGCCCTTGCCACAGGCTCGGTGCGCCATCCGTTCCTTCTTTTCCTTCTCCTGAAGGGGGGGAGGCGAGGAGAGATCGGAAGGCGAAGAGGGGGGCGAGAAGAGATGGGAAGGCGTTCCCTTCCCCTTCCCCCGTCCCATCCTTCCCCCATGTATCGCCCCTCGCCCCCCAGTAATTCGCGCCCGAAGGAGGAGGAGGAGGCGGAAGAGGAGGAGGAGGAGCAGGAGGCGGAGCAGGAGGAGGAGGAGCAGGAGGAGGAGGAGGAGGAGGAGGAGGAGGAGGAGGTGGAGGTGGAGGCGCAGAATGACCAGGAGGAGGAGCAGGAGGAGGAGGTGCAGACTGACCAAGGAGGACCCGTGCCGCGGCCCGCCCCGCCCCCGCCCACCAGGGCGCGCGGGCCGCCCCGCGGGGTGCCGAGCACCGCGCCCTCCCCCGGGGCCGGCGCGGCCGGCGCGCGGGCCGCCGCCATTCAAGCAGTGGCGAGGCGTCCTGGCGTGCCTATAGGCCTACCCCTCCTCCTCCTCCTCCTCCTCCCCCTCCTCCTCCCCCTCCTCCTCCCCCCTCCTCCTCCTCCTCCTCCTACTCCTCCTCCTCCTCCTCTTCCTCCTCCTCCTCCGACCGAACAGCCCAAGGGCGGCATCGACAGACCTCGACCTGGTTTCCACGACATGTTTTTAGAACATTTCTGGCTGGGACTGTCTCGTTTTGACACAGCGGGTCTATGTTCTGCGTTCTGAGAACAGTGTTTTGCTCTTCGAACATTCTTGGGGTTCTAAGAGCGTTTCGTGGTAGGCCTATAGGAATGCCGGGACGGTCGGTCCCTGCTCATCACCATGGTCCACGACGTGCTGGTCCATCACATCCAGGCCCGCCCTGGGTGCGGTCGGACGGAGGGCCCCAGACCCCCATTGGGTCATGACAACACCACGACGGGAGCCTCACTGGGCCTCGGGACTGTCAGAAAACGATTCAGAATGAAAAGCGGGCCCTGGGGAACGTCATGAAAAACCATGACGTCGAGGGTCAATGCTCAGAGGAGGAAAGGTACCCATACTCCTAATTACCCCCTCGCCCGTTTTCCCCTTCTTGGGCCTCCTGGGAGGCCCTCGTCGCCAACGCTGGATTCGCCTCGAAATCCTGGGCAGAACGCACCCAGGGAGAGGTCCGGGGGGTAGCGGTATCGGTACCTTTTGGTTTCCCCAGTCGGACGGAGGGTCGATGCGAGGCACAGGTCGAGCGCAATTCCCAGGAGGTCAGGTTCTGGCTCCATCTGCTCGGCCCCTCTACTCGGCCCCTTCGGCCCCATCTGCTCGGCCCCTCTTCAGGAGGCCTAGAAATGTGGTTCTCGCTTCGGCGTCTTGTCTGTGGGCCTGGTCGTGCTGGATCCCCCACACAAATCTGGAATCCCTCCCTGGGGGCTCGCCTCTTACGGTAGGAGCTCGACCACAAGTCACCTTCCACAAGAAAGCCAACCCTGAGAACCCAGGACGTCCATTGATTTCTGGTGTGGGGAAACCACGCTTTCCATAACAAAACCCTCGAAAACCAAGAAACCCAGGGCACCCTGGAGGCAAGCAGGGTGCTTCTTGGCATGGGCTTCCACTGTATCCTGAGCCGTCCCTGGACTGCCCCGGGCCCCCGCAGGCCCGCACTGCCAACAAAAACCGTCCTTCGTGATGTCTGTTCACGGCGCGTGGGTGTCGGGAAGGGGCCCACGGTCGGACCTTGGACACAATCGCATTCTTGAGGGACACGAGAGCCTCCGCCGGCCAAGCCGAAGAACATTCGAGGGTGTCTCCCCCCAGGATGCACCAGAACACCCAACAAGCACGAAGAGCATTAAGCTTAAGGGCACCCTCCCAGAATCGACCTCGAGGCAAGCCTGGTTGTGCTGGACCTGTGCGCAGGAGGCGACTGCTGGGAGGTCTTCGTCGGGAGGAGGACCAGGGAGGATTCAGCCCCACTGGGGGGCTGCTACGTCGGACCGGGCCGCGGATTTAGCGGGATGAAGCCAGATTCAGCGAGATGGAGCCAGAGCAAGCGGGCTGGGGCTCCTTCCCTGGATATCCAGGCCGAGGGACGGGGCCTGGCGCGCCGCTGCAACAAGTCTGCACGTGCAGTCGTTCTCGCACACCTTCCTCCTCCTCCTCCTCCTCCTCCTCCTCCTCCTCCTCCTCCTCCGCTTCCTCCTCCTCCTCCTCCTCCTCCTTCCTCCTCCTCCTCCTCTCTCCTCCTCCTCCTTGTCCTCCTCCTCCTCCTCCTCCTTTTCCTCTCCTCCTCTTGCTCTGCTCCTCCCCTCTTCTCCTCCTCCTCCTCCTCCTCCTCCTCCTCCTCCTCCTCCTCCTCCTCCTCCTCCTCCCTCCTCCTCCCCCATTCCTCCTCCCCCTCCTTCTCCTCCTCCTCCTCCCCTCCTCCTCCCCCTCCTCTCCGCTTTCCTCCTCCTCCTCCTCCTGCTCTCTCCTCCTCTGCCTCCTGCTCCTCCTCCTCCTCCTCCCCTCCTCCTCCTCCTCCTCCTCCTCCTCCTCCTCCTCCTCCTCCTCCTCCTCCTCCTCCCCGTCCTTCTCCTCCTCCTCCTGCTTTTCTCCTCCTGCTCCTGCTCCTGCTCCTCTCCTGCTCCTGCTCCTCCCCCTCCCCCTCCTCCTCTCCTCCTCCTCCCCTCCTCCTCCCCTCCTCCTCCTCCTCCTCCTCTCCTCCTCCTCCTCCCCTTCCTCCTCCCCTCCTTCTCCTCCTCCTCCTCCTCCCCTTCCTCCTCCCCCTCCTTCTCCTCCTCCTCCTCTCTCCGCTTCCTCCTCCTCCTCCTCCTCCTGCTCCTCTCCTCCTGCTCCTGCTCTCCTCCTCCTCCTCCTCCCTTCCTCCTCCTCCTCCACCTCCTCCTCCCCTCCTCTCCTCCTCCTCCTCCCCTCCTCCCCGTCCTTCCTCCTCTCCTCCTCCTCCTCCTCTCCTCCTCCTCCTCTCCTCGTCCTCCTCCTCCTCGTCATCCTCCTTCTCATCCTTCTTTTCCTCCCCCCCTTCTCCTAGCAGCACCCCCTCCTTCCTCCTCCTCCTCCTCCTCCTCCTCCTCCTCCTCCTCCTTCTCCTTCTCCCCCTCCTCCCCCAGCCGCTTGGGCTCAAGCTCGCTTCGCCGGCGCCCCCTGTGTTCTGCCGCAGCGTGTCCGATGTCGGCGGCGATGGGAGCCCGCACCGTGGCGCTCGAGGTGGCGCGTGGCGCCCTCCTCGCGGCGAGTTCGGCGGCTGGGCTCACAACGGGCTGCCCTGAGTTGCGCGAGTCCCTTCGCATGATAAGGGCGGCCGAGCGCATACTGCGGGCGGCGGTGGCCATACTGGCCAGACCTCTTCCGCGCCTGCCGTGGCGCCCCAGGCGAGGCTCGCTGCTGCTCCTCGGCGGCGGTTGCGGCCCCGTGGCCGCGGCGGCAAGACGGGCAAGGCAGCGGATGACAAGCATGGCGACGCCGCTGAAGGCATGGACTTGGAGATAGGGGCGGCTGGGGATGCGGATGCGGGGGCCGCTGCACCGCCTGCGCCGCTGCTGGAGACCGACTAGCTGCCGCTGGCGCGGCGGGCCGGCAGCCGCCTTCCAGCACAGCCTCGGGCAAGGACAAGGGCAAGGGCACGGGCAAGGTCGGCGTCATGAGCGACGTCTGGGCGGATGTTCTGCTTGTGCGGCCGCTCCCGCGCCGCTTTGGGCTGCCCGGCGCTTTGGCGCTCCCCAGTCGCGAGTCTCCTGGGGCCTCGCTCGGCGGCGAGGTGGGGAGCGCCACGGGGCTCTTCGGAACGTCCGTGACGGCCGAGGACGT